TGAAAGTCTTTTTTGGATATATACGGAGGGGAGGGGGTAAAAAAAGGTCGTCGCGTCTTAATGCTTGTCCCGATATCGAGAGTTGGAAGATCGCTGACATTTCGAGGCAAGAAGAAAACGGGACCGCAAGGAGAAAACGGAGGAAAGGTTCGGAAGAAGCAGGCTGGGAGAATCCGGAGAAAGAGAAGAGAAAGGATGACGATCAAGAAAGAAACGAGACGAAAGACGCGTACGTATAATGCATTATTCGTGGTGGCTGCTCGATTTAAGGGAAAAAGGACTTTGCTCGATATCAGTATTCGAGACGAGCACGCTACCTTCGGTAGGGAGCGAAGAAAGAACGCAGGCGAGCGCACAGTAGAAAGAAAGGGAATAGGGAAGATGGAAGATGGAAGGTAGAGGAAAGAGGAAAGAGGTAGAACGAGAGGGAGCGAAAGGGGACTAGAGGTGGGTGGATTTTCCTGAGGGAAGGCGCTAGAGGGAAGAGGTTGGCAGGGGAGAAGTCGGACAGGGTGGCTCGCAATTTCGAAATGGATTCCACTCTGCCGCCATGCCCCAGTACTCCCCTCGTCTTTCTTCTATCCACCCCGTTTCTCTTCGTTCTCTTCTCTTCCTTTCTGCTCTTCTCTCTTTGCACGAGCGTACCAACTTGGTAGGGTGGATCAGCTTCATTCCTGCCTCGCTGTTCGCCTAGGACGAGGGGCTTGGGACGATCTCGAGTAGGTGGATTGGATGGAAAACCCAGTGAGAATTATGTCCTTCTCTACGTACTTGTGTTTCCTCCAATTTTCAAATTATCGGAACGACGAAACGAAAAAACAATATCTCCTTAAGAAGCCAGTGAAAATTTTTCAATTGGCTGCTGAAGCATCAAACATTATTACATCGTTTTATCGGACCAGTTCAGATCAGTTTCAAGATAAACGCAAGTTTCTCAAGATGAAGTGAAAACGTTTGTCGTTCGTTAAAAAAAAAAAAAGAAAAAAAAAGAAAAAAAAAATACTGCGAGTTGAAGATTCATAACCAAATGCAAGTTGATTTGTAAAACATAAGAAACGAAATTGTGAATCAAGACGAACAATGTAGTTACGGAATCTTAAAACGTCGATATTCATCTAGTCGAAACGATAAAGCCAACAAGTGTCCCAAGATGGTCATTAATTCGTCTCCGTGCGAAATTAGATTTCTCATGGTGTCTCTAATTTTATTGCAGTTTGCTCTATTAATATGTGCGCACGTATTTCGAGGATATAGCATTGTTTTTGGCTTGCGAATGTATCGAAATTCCAACCTGCACGCTGCTAAATATACCTGGATCGCGGTTACGTCTACCGCGGTTGTTCTGCGGTTACCGCAATATACGACAGTCACCGTTTTCTTATGTAATCGAATTTAGCGTTTGCGGCAATTTTCGTGAACGAATTGCCACCGTCCCTCTATTTTGCTCTAAATTGCGGCAGCCAGATAAACAAAGAGAGGCCAGGAAAAAAAGAAAGAAATAATAAATCGAATCTTTTATAAACGTAAAAGAGAAAGAGTCAACATTTCTGATAAAGAGATGCGACTACAAAATCTGATTTTGTTCACACGAACTTTGTCGAATGTCGAAGAAAAAGTTGAAATCTGTATTAAAAATTGAGCGCAATAAAAGACGTATGTACTGGTAAGATTTATGCCAGACGATATTCACGTTGGCCGTGATCACGCGATCTCGTAAAACTCGATGCTGTTCTATTCTCGTACTTGTCACGCCATTTTGCATAGTCAGGCAGACGTTCACCTTAATGCAGTGACTCGGGCCGCGAGTTTGAATAGTAAATTTCGGTTATGATAAAACTTTTGGCCACGACGATATCAACCGTAATAACGTTACTTTTAAGCGCGGCAATATATTCTACGACAGAACTCGAAACACTGTATTATCCAGGTTCTCCAAACTACACACAGCTATCCGAGCACCGTCTGGAACAACGGTGCATGTTGTGTTCGTTTAAATAACAATCGCGAGCCAGCAGCAGGCACTACGAATAAAGCCGTGTAAAGAAACGAGGAGAATGTCCTCTTGAAAATTAATTTTATTTAATGCCGAATCTCACTTGGTATCATCTTGAAATGAAAAAATGAAAGTCGAATTTATATCTTGGATAAAGAGATAGACGAAGATCGACCATCGAGCTAAGCGTTAAAAGTAAGTTTGAGCGAAGAAAGTAAAACGAACTTGATAGCGTTTGACTCTTAGATGACGGGAAGAAGAAGGACAGGGTTAAAACTTGTTAATGGCCAGACTTATCGATAGAGCGTCAACTAACCCTGGTAACTGCAGTCGCGCCGGTGCTGCGTGTGTGCACGCGAGCGCATACATCTCGGCACGAGTTGCGTCCATATTGTTGCGTCTACAAAGAATTTCACATGCGTCCATATATACGCCAGTGGACCTCAAAGCAAGGGTGTGCGTATTTACTGCGGGGAAACATCAAGACCGCTGACACACGGTGAAATATGGGGTCGAAACGGGCGTGGCAATTAAAGCACGCTCTCACCCTCTCGCCGCTCTCTCCCTCTTCCTCGTGATTTGGTATTTATGGTACGCACGAATACACGGATATACCAAGCCAGTACGAATGACAGGCTACCGTTATTTGCAAAGTATGCAAAAGGGAGAGAATACACGGGAGGCGCTAAAAAGAATTATACTTTTTATATTTTTCGTTGATAAGTGAGTCGTGGCAAGCGGGAGAGAGATCATGCGCGCGCTGCACGCCTCCGATGCTTTTTGTTTCAATCGCGCGCATATTAATGAGCTGGAATTGATTATGCGTTACAACGAATGACCCGTGGCGTCGCGCTAGCAAATAACATTAAATTTTCACAATAGAAATAACAAAATTGAAAAATACGAAATAAACTTGCATGGAAAGAAAATCTATGGATATTGCACATCGACATTGACGAACGTGATGATCAAATCATCACACGGAAGCAAATTTAACGATCGTCGAGCAGTTTAATCGATCTCGGAAAGAGATTGAGCGTTAACAAGTTATCAGGCAGGTAGAATGTTTTATTAAAGTATTAGGGCGCAGGCGCGGCGGTAGTAAAATTTTAGAATTTCCTGGAATTTCGAGGGCAAAATACAATAACCCGCAGGGGAATTCCTGGGCGTTAAAGAGATCCGCAGTTCACGATACAGCCGCGTTAGCCTGGCCGACACGCGAGATTTTACTTAGCGCGAGTGAGTTGGTTCATTAGCACGCAAATCGTCGAACAGAGACGAGTCTCGTTCTCTCGCCACTACCCTTAAACTAGTCTCTTATCACTTTGCCCGAGGGTTAGAGGAAAAAATCCCACGGAAAGAACTGCACGACCGCCGTTTCGATTCGATTGCGCGACAGTTATTCGGAAACACTTTGCTTCTTTTCCAAGAACCTAACGCGTCCAACACATACTAGAAATTTCCGCGTGGGTAAAGGGATGACGACACCATTTACGGACCTGTTCGTATTTCTCCAATTCCTGATGATAAATCTGTCTAATTTGGGCAAGCTTGGCTCTATAATCCGAGTGTTCGATGGCGTTGTCAGGTTGTCCAGGTGGTCCACCCGCCGCTGCCGCTGCCGCAGCAGAGGCCGCAGCTCCCGCTCCGCCGCCCTTTTCAGGGCCTGCGACACCTTCCGCGATCAACATATTGTCCAACCTCATTAGCTGCGGGTCAGGTGGTTCCTCTTCCTGAGTATTTCTTAAAGATAGCACTGAAACAGCAAAAAGTTAACAGCAAAATTTCAATGTGAACGAGCAACATGGTATGTAAATGTAGAAAAAAAATCGCGTCGAAACGTTGTCCGATTACCGAAGTATTCGACTAATTGATAGAAATATTAAAGGAATCACGGTGATGAACATATCATTTTATTTCACTATCGCCTGACAAATGAACGAGAATGAGCGGCGAAATTCGATAAGAAATCCTGTTTCCACAGAAGAAGAAGAAGAAGAAGAAGAAGAAGGAGAGAAAGAAAGTAAGTTGGAAAAAGTCAAGCGCATTTATCGATCATAAAAGAATCAATTTTACTTCGGTGTTCGCTCCTATCTTCATCTCCGTCTCTCGATTCTTTCATTTTCTCTTTGTCTTAAAGGCCGATGCACACAGTGCTTTAGAACGGGGGTAGTTTTCCACGGTATAACAGTGGTTTTATTGTACTTTTACGACGCATGATGGAGCTGGACGAGCCATAAAACCACAGAGAGCGAGGCACTTTCGCTTTCCTTCTCTTCCCTTCCTTTGTCCTTCTCGTGTGACAGTTCTTCCAGAAAGATGCATCTTTCGACAGTCTTCACCCCCGATACATAAACCAACACGTGCACGCAAGGGTAAGCACGCCGAGGGGATGAACAGCCCGGGAAACTCGTGCAAACTGCCGCGAGATATATTTGCCCGCAGTACCGATTATTCTTCCTGCGATTTTAAAAAAGTGACGAGTAAGTTGTTCGTCGGGCGGCAAACTTAGCCGGAGCAAAGAGCAAGGCGCCAAAGTAGCCGTATTCAAAAGAAAGAAAATCGCTAGACTAAAAAATACGTACGTAGAGGGAAAACTTCAACGTGTGAAAGAAAACTGTCGATGAAAGAAACGAAAAGATCTGAAATGTTAAAGAGAGCAGCTGTTCAAACAGCGAATTATTAAAATATCACAATACTTTTCTGAATGGAAAATGTTTCAACCGCACGTATCCCTTAATTGAGATTTGAGAACTGAATTAATCATATCTGCGGTTATTGGAACAGTAATTTAAATTCGTTACGACTTTTTTTTTCTTTCTTTCTTCTGTCTCTGTCTAGTTCCCGCTTGCTGAAAAAAAGTCTCCGGAGACGAAAAGAGAAACGAAGAAGGGTGTGAAAGTTCGCCGAGATTCGCGGGACCGTGAAACGAATGCGCGGAACTAATGCATTTATACGAAGTGTAACAATTAGGGCTGCAGACCTGGCCAAGGGGTTGGAATTTCAAATTCCTCCAGGGACTCGACTGAAAGGGTGAAGACACAAAGTCGATCACTGGGGAACAGTTTCTTTGAGAAAGATGTTACTACGGCAAACTACTCTGTCAGTGTCTCCTCATTCGTTAATGAATCTCTCTTGTGCAAAGGCGAATAGTTCACAAACTTTTCTTTGAGGAAACTGGATTTAACATTTTCTTTTTTTCTTTTTTGCTAAATTTTCAAAGAGCTCTACATATACGATAACCGAAAAGAAACGTCCCTATTAAACGTTTGCAACGTGAAATAATGTAAAATCTTGCAAACGGGTAGTTGCCAGTTTTCAAGAACGACTTAAGAGAAGGTTAGCGAACAGCAGTCAGGAGAATATCGTTAAAACTTTGCTGTCCGAGGTACAACGGCTGAGAACTTTTCACGCTACCGTGGGTAATTAAAAATGAAAAACCTTCGGCCGTGTCGTTCGCTTGGGAACCAACGAAATAAAACGTACGTTTATGGCGATGTCGTAAGAGGAAGAAGTTGTTCCATTGAAAGTTAAAAGATAGTCAGCCATTGATAGTACCTCGGTTTATTTCGCGGGAGAAGACACCCTCCTTGCCAACCTATCGAAATTTAAAAAAAAA